TTTTTTTGTTTTTTTTTTTTTGGTTTTTCTTCTAGAGCTAGGTAGTAAGTTAGTAGTAGAGTAAGTTAGTTGGCGGAGTTTTGAACGGGTGAGGTTTTACTGGCCTGGCCTGCAGTGGCCTGCAGTAAGTAAGTAAGTAAGTAAGTACGGTAGCCTGCAGAGATCGGGGCGGGTGCTGAGATTGGGTTGGGTTGGGTTGGAGATGTGTGGTATGGTATGGTGTGGAATGGTGTGGTTACCAGCAGGGAAGCAACCTCGCTCGTGCAGTATACCACCTTTTCTGTCTTTCTTCTTTTCTCTTCTTTTTTTCTTTCTTTTTTTTTCTTTTTGGACGCACCAGGAACCAAGCGATGATGACCTCCTTTTCCCCTCGAACAGAACAATCAGAAAGAAAAGAAAGAAAAGAAAGAAAAGAAAAGAAAGAAGAGAAAGAATTAAAAAAAATAATGAACATAATGAAAAATTAAAAATATTAGCCGGCCGGGGGTGGACCAATTCTATAATTACTGTATGTACTATGTACTATGTATATTATTTAGGGACGTAGTACGTACAGTAGTACGTAGTAAGTTTACCTAATCCGAAAAGCATATTAAAAAAAAGAGGAAAAAAGAGGAAAAAAGAGGAAAGAAAAAAGAAAAGAAGAAGAAAAAAAAGAATCCGTCATGCGTAAACTTCACCATCTGCTTTGCTTGTTTTGGAAGAACTCTTGGTTTTTTTTTTTTTTGGTTTTTTTGGGTTTTTGGGTTTTTGGTTTTTGGGTTTTTCTCTTCCAGAAGTCTGAATGAACGAACGAACCACTGGGACGGGAACGGGAACGGGAAAGAGGAGAAGGAGAGGGGGGATGGGGTGGAATCTTTTATCTTGTCTTGGCGGCGAGTCTCTCCATCTCATCTCATCTCGTCTCGTCCCATCTCGTCTCGTCTCATCTATTATATTATATTATATTCTCCGTAAACTTCTCGGCTCGGCTCTGCTCTGCTGCTGGGTTGCTCCTTGAGTCCCTGGGCGAAGTGGTTCTTTTTTTTTTTTTTTTTTTTTTTTTTTTTTTTTTTCTTTTTTTTTTCTTCTTTCTTCCGTGGTGCGGACGGCTGGAGGGTGGACCTGACCTGGTGTACAGTAGGTAGGTAGGTGGTTAGCGTAGATATACGACAGGCGAGCGCGGGAGTCCGATCGCTCAATTTTTTTTTTTTTTTTTTTTTTTTCTATATATATATATATATATTTTTAGATTTTTGGGGGGACGGTGTGCGGGGGTTGGATTGAGACTTTCTTTCCTCTGAGAGTTTGAGCGAGGGCGGGCCAGGCCAGACTTTACCTTGACTTTCTTTCGGTACGTGTTCTATGCTTTGCATTACAATTACAATTACAGGTTACGGTTGGATTCCGTTGACTAATGGATGGATGGATGTGAAACGACTGGGTACCTTGTGTCTACTGAAGTAGTACGTACGTAGTAGTAGTATGAGCCGCTCCCTTGTCGTGGAAAAGGTTTATGTGATTGTTTATATAATTATCCTTTCTCATATTTTTACTACTATTCTTCTTTTTTTTTTTTTTTTTTTTTTTTTTTTACAAAAAGACAAAAAAAGAAAAAAATGGGAATGGTTGGGGGAAGTTTAAGCTGTTGAACGTGGTACCGCTACGTACTACTACGTACGCAGTAGAGAGCTTCGGAGCGAAATAAAAAGTTTATGCATTACGTAGGCGGATTCCGCAACTAGGTTCTCGTGCTCGTGCTCAAAGACTACTGTACTGTACGTACTACGTACCTACCCTAAATATAGAATCGGCGCTGTAGAAGTACCACGTACTACGTAGCTAGTACTTAGTAAATGGGAAAGTCAAGTCGGGTGAATGGTTTCAAGAGATGAGACGATCACTGACCTGCCGACGCGTAGCTGGAAGTCAATTCCGTGCCCTGGCCCTGGACTAGGCATACGTAGAGGGTGTGCACCGTGCGTGTTCCATCCTACTGTAGTAATCGTAACCAGTACAGTACTGTACCAACCAGTACGCTTTCGGACTTTCTCAGATGAAAAATCCGATCAAAGCCGCTCGGTGATAGCTACCGATGATTGGCTTCACTCTCTACTGTACAGTAGCAGGATACTATTTTTGTTTTATGTTGTACCGCTCGCGATGCTATGCCGTTCGAGCCGTTCGTGACCGCTTCTCACGCTGGCTTCTGTACGCTCCCTTCATCCGCACTGGACAGGTCTCACGAGCAAAAGCCAAGGAAGGGCCTCTGCTACCGAATCCGGCTGCGATCACGGCGCGAGTGACACTACTGACCTTGCGGAATCCCGTTTTTGACGCTGGGTCGGCGGGCGGCAAGGGGGAGAGGACTCACTCGCTCCGCCGGTCGCGGTGACTCGGCTGCGAAATCCCTCGGGGGGCCGTTACGTAGCCGTGCTTTTCCGGTCCGGTACAGTCGCGTCCGCGATCGAGTCCGAGAGAGAGAGAGAGAGAGAGAGAGAGTCCGAGGTGAAGTCAGAGATAGAAAAGTTCGGGACCAGAGAAAAGTGGGATCCAGCAGGCCGCCATGCGAGTCGAAAGAGTTCGAGAGGAAGTCCGGGTTTCGAGTCAAAGCTCCCCTCCCCCTCCCGCGGATGAGGTACTAGTAGTAGGTTGTGCTCTCTCCGGAACTCGGTACTTCTGCTTTCCTTTCCTTTGCCTTTGCCTTTGCCTCTTCCTTTTGCTTTTTCTTTTGATCCTTTGATTTGCAAACTGTATCGACCGTGTGTATGTACGTACTACGTACGTTGTACATCCATACCTATCTACTACGAGTATCTATCTACTACGTATCTATCTATCTGCCTGAAACCTTCTCCGTGTCTCGACACAAGAAAAACATACCGTTACAGACAACCCTGAACGAATTGACTGACTCTGATCCGAATACTAGAATCCTGTACTTTTTAATCAACCTGCGTCTTTTTTTTAAAAAAAAAAAATTATATAATTGGCGATGCAAATTCTGCTCTGTGGCGCCTGTACTTCCTCTGAAGAAGTTAAGACTTGGGCAAGGCGGTGGACTCGTTAATTGTACTACGTAGCTGTGCGTATTCTGTGCATGGCTCTGCGGACGTCGTAGGCTTTCAGAGAATGAGAGAGTGGTACCGGTAGATTGGATTGGGTTGGAGTAGGTTAGTTGTACATGTGTGGTCGATGTAGTAGAATGTGTATTTTTGTTTTTTGTTCTTTTATTTTTTTCTTTTGGTCTTCTTCTTCTTCTACTTCTTCTTCTGCTTCTGCTTCTACTTCTACTTCTGCTTCTTCTTCTACTTCTTCTTCTACTTCTTCTTCTACTTCCTCTTCCATTCTCCTTGGTTTTCTTTCCTCTCGTCTTTCTTGTTTCTTGTTTCCTGTTTCATCTTCTGTACCTACGGAGACATAGCCCATAAGCTTTCCCATGTTTTTTTTTTTGGTTTTTTTTTTTCGCAAGCGGGACAGCGTAACCGCAATAGGTGACATAACGGAATCCGTCCATGCGCCCTCCGTCGACGCATTTGCGCTAGACCGCGCGACACTACTCGATTTGGTTGAGCTGTCCACCCTTGCAAGAACCGGGGGGGTACTTAAGGGCTGAACCTCCGTCTGAGGAGGTCCGGAGGTACAGCGGTGAAGTTTTATACCATGTCAAAAGCAAGAGGGGTGCGAAAGGCTGTGTAAGGCTGTGTAAGGCGCGAAACTTAACCCGATAAGGTAGCAGTTTCATGCAACGAAAAGCAAAGCGCTTTAGCGATGCTGCTCAATCGAGCAAAGTGTCCCGTCCCCCCTGCTGACATGGTCTAATACTTGACCGCGGTGTCCCCGTGGTAGTATAGTATTTTCCGGCAGTTACTCATTACGGTAGTTGGTTTTGTGTGCGCTGTGCGCTGTGCTCTGTGATCTGTGCTTTGTGCTCTGTGCTGGGGCTTGGCTGGGTCATGGCTTTTGAGGTTTTTGATAAGCCTTGGGCATGGACGTGTTGATGATCGGTGTTTAGGAGTAAGTAAGTACAAAGCCGTCTGTTTGAGGTACAGTAGTATACAGGTGATCATGGTTTGGTCTATCGGTCTGGTTGGCTATTGGGTTGGTGGTAGTAAGTTATCGATCGGATTTGACTGGATTGGCTGATACGCAGAGATGAGAGTGGATAGATGTACGTAGTAAGTAAGGTAAGGTCGGATGTATACAAGTGTTTCAAAATGGTAGTTTGCGAGTCCTCGGAATGGCGAGTAGATTGGATTAAATGAATCAATTCTTGTGCGTATGCTGATCACAGGCTCGGTATATTGAGATGGGCTGTGAAAGGCTGACACCTGGTCAATACCATCTCCGCCGTCGATCCGGTCGGTTTCGGTCTAGGACAGAAGAGGAGTTCCAAGGGCTCGTCTTGTGAGAAAACCGGATTCTGTACGGGGCATGGGGTAATTAGAAACAGATGAGCAAGCAGGCAGGCAGATCGGTCTTGAAACAATTTCGACTGGGACAAGCTGGGAACTCGGGATTTTGAGGAGAGCAGATAGCTAGGTGCAGTACGCTAGCCAGCCAGCTGGGTACTTCATTCATACCGTAGTGATTCAGGAGAGAGAAGGAACGCTAGCCGTTTAGCGTACTTAGCAAATAGGAGGGATCAATCGTTACGCCGCTCCGAGAGGCGGCCCCATATCAAAATCCTCAGTGTCCTTTAGCGTAATATTTGCTTTGAATACTCTGATCTTGCTATTCGCACCCCTTATCGTCAATATAACTCCTTGAAATTGTGGTTGCTAAACTGAAATTCGGCCCTGAATTACCTCCTCCGGAATCTCATGTATTGAATACTCTAAATGCTTCTTTATTGTCATGCGTGACAATAATACCTTACAGGATTACCATGCCACGCCCGACAGGAATACTCTACTCGGATGCCCAGTATCCGTCTGACTACCGGGAAGCCCTCGCTACACCTACGTAGTATATTCAAGATGAGGATCCGACAAGTTAGAGATTCTGATAATGCGTATCATAATCTCGCATCGTATCTAAGTCCAGGACATCAAGGAGTCCTATTCTAGCAGTAGCGTAGAATTGTATATACTGATCCGAGGGTGCTCCTTAGAGCCCTAGAGATCGGTTCACTACCAATACACACTTCTACACTCCTACTATTCTATCTTTGCCGGTCTTCAGAGCTACCTTCTGACATTTATATAAGGAGCGCGCTCCTCGAGCACGGCCTAAGCAGAAGCCTAAGATACTAGCCCATTATCAAGCTGGAAAAGACGCTTACAATAACTCCACTACAGCTTATACCCCTCGTCCTTGTATCACATGCTCGAAAGGATTTAGACTTCTTCAGGAACGCAAGGTCGACGTGATACTGTTTTTCCATCTTCACAAGATCGCTCGAATAATCTTACTGCCTGCTTACTCGAAATGCAACCGCTTTGCGACTCGGAAACGAATAGAATGACGCAATAAAAGCATATCTTTGATACGAATACGTTTCTTTTATATAAAAACAAGCTGCTTTATATTAGGAGATTAACAACCGTATTATCTAAAAATAGTAAAAAGAGCAAAGTGATGTTTGCGCTTCGATATGAGCATCTCGCTTAGCTATACTATACTGACGGACAACACTGCGTTCTCCGGTAACATTTTGTTGCTTCATGATTAATTAAGAACGAGTCGTATTTACAGCCAAGGTATAGTCGCGAGGAAAGCAATTCAATGAAGGGAACGTATCTATGTATGTCGTTGTAACCCGGAGCGGCGTAACTATTGATCCCCTTTGCTTGCCAAGTACGCTACGTAAACGGCCAGCGCTCCTTCTCTCTCCTGAATTACCACGGTAAGGGTTGATCGTTCTCTGTTCCTCTCGTATACTCGGATGCGTGAGTGAGTCTTCGGGATCTGTGTGTAGGTATGTATGTATGTACTTGTTCCTCGAACGACGTCCGTTCCAGCCCTCGTGTAATTGCCGTACGGGTGAGTTCCGAAGCTGGATCGTGGGGTTGTACCGTCCAGCTACTCCTCCCGAGCGGCAAGCATCGATCACGCTCCCAAAAACTCGGATTGGGGTATATGGTGCAGGACTCTCAACTACCCGAGACCTGGAGCTCTCTACCGCAGATTAAATGATCTTGTAAGGAAAAATCCTCTGCGAGCTATGGTACGTGGGTATGTGTGTCTGCGTCTTGCTCGCTACGCATGCGAAGGCTAGCACTGCTTCGCATCGTATCATACGTCACCTTGCACTTCATATATATTGTCAAAGTGGAAATCAATCATCAGCTTTTATGTTTCGCGGACCTTGCTGTGGATTATATGGCTTTGGCGATCGGCGGCGGCAGCAGCGACAGTGGGCTTTTGTTGACTGGACGTCGCTAATAATTTAAGCGAGGGAGGGATGTTTGACTTGGAGTTGATAGGTACATGGAGCGAGACTCGCAGGTTTTGCGGATTTGGCCGAGCGCTAATCCCACTCGCGTTGTTTGTTCTGACGCGTTGCTGGATAATGATCATCGCCGATGGAGATTGAGTGTGGACTGGACCTGGAAAGGTTCATATGGGGTTTATCTGACTCGTTTTGAAAGCTTGGAATTTGTGGAAAAGGAGAGAGGGGGGGGGGGAGGAGAGAGAGAGTCACTGAGACATTAGAGATCTTGTTATTAGATCAAAGTGATACAGAAAAGTTCGTGCCTGACAGCTTACGAAACTTGGTATAAGTGCAACTTGATTGATAAAAGTTATGAGAATCTGGGAAGTGGTTCGAGTATCACGATACTTGACCGAATTGACATTCAAAATCAACCTCAACGCATCCGCAAGAAGTTTTCGTGCGATTGATGATTTCCGACGCATCCTACCAGTATCTTCTTCGCTGCTAAAGACCCTTTCAATCCGAACTCAACATTTACTTCCTGCTGTCCCTTTCAAGTTTCTTTCTGCAGTCCAAAGCAGAATAGCAATACGTATCGCAGCGAATCCTGAAAAGGAAGCAAGGAGAATACCGGGGCTGAAGGGAAAACCAAGTCTTTGACATCCGAGACTGCATCATCTATCAGCAAAGTGTACATATTCTTAGTTAAGCGTGCAAGCTTCGATTTTAATACGGTGCCAGGTTTCGCAGGTGCCGATATCCTTTGCAGCGATTTACCAGATCGCTTTTGTATGCCTTTCTCTTGCGTTCAACTGTGAAAAAAAAAGGGGGGAGGGCTCGTAGGGACCCATTGAATATATGCAACTAAAATAGTAGAGGCTGTGAAAACAAGCACGTATACCGCTGATTGCTCGTATATCTGCGAGATACCGAATTGCATGATTTATCTACAACTACTACTCAACTATTCTCGGCGAAATACATAGCCGCTCCCATATCACGCAAGCCTCCGATCGCTTGCAACTCATAGCCCTTCCATTCCATCCACAGCAATACTCTTCCTCTGTTTCCCGAATTTTGAGATACCTCGCCTCTATCTCCATCTCACCTATCCCGATGTCCATCTTAAGCGGTCCAAAAAACCTAGAACTTCAAGATTAACCACCCCTCCTCCACTCTACTGCCAGCCTGCCTTCAGCTCTCAGATCAGTAGCAAAGTCGAAAGCTCTTCCTACACATCAACCCCGAACAAAACCCTCCAAGTATCCAGAAGCACACCACCACGACACCTAGGCTCGAAAATGTGTCACAACCTCCAGCTTTCGAATGGAGGATGCAAGTGCCCAAGCCTCAGGATCTGAGCAAGATGAGGAATGCGTTCGAGAGAAAACCACCGAGCTCAGGGGGCAGGAGAAAGCTGCTGCGAGGAAGAGGGTGAGGGGAAGAGATGGGAGATTCAATTATTGTAGAGCGTGCGGCGAGGAAGTGTACCGAGCGCGTGGAGTTCGTCGGGTCAGGGCCGGACTGTGTGGGTGTTTGCCAGGCCGGGACTGCAAAGGCGTGCCAGCTACGCGAGACTTGAGATGGTGGATCCGGGCCTGAGGGCGGAGAGCTGAGATGCAATGAGGGTCGTTCATGCGAAGGCGAGGCTTCTCGTGAATCGTGACGGCTAGGATAGAGGATGGGGGCTGTAGATGTCGAAGAGGAGTGGGATGTTGTGCATGGGATCGTTGGTTCTAGGCAGCTTGCTGATCTTGTACTTGTTATGGAGTTGCAGTTTACTGCTTAGGTGAGAAAAATCGTTGGATTTACATACTATGGCTCTTCTGAGATACTGTCAAATCGTAGGATTGGTGAGGTGTCAACGTTGATCCGAGATTAGCGAAATGCCCTTGAATCTTTAGCGAGCCCAAATTCTACGTACAGGCCAGAAAACCTAGAGTACTAACTGGAATTAATATTAGATGTGGCCTTTGATCTCTCTGTTGCAAGCTTAATTAATGGCGAGCTCCAAAGGACCGATGAGCTCATCCTTATAAGCAGAGCAGTCCCGTTGCCGGCTCGATTACCATGTAAAGCTGTCCCTGGAAAAAAAAAAGTTTGTCTTCAAAACATGGCTTGGTGGTGAGGAAGGGTGCTGAGGGCGAGGCAGCTGGATGCAGGATGCCATGGGAGAATTCTCCTATGAGTTTAGATCCGTCTATCTCTAAAGACAGCTGAAGTGAAGCTCGTGAACCCTATTGAAGTGGTAATTACCGTAAGTTCTGGGTCCGTAACAGATAAGGCAATGGAAAAAAAAAAGAAATTGAAGACCTACTTCTCATAAGCCTGATGTACAGAAATTTTAATAGCAGTACTTACCATCTTTCTATATGCTTACTTGTGACAAATTGCAAGCTCGAAATCGTTAGCCCCGATTCGGCCTCGCTTAGCATTGTTTATACCCCTTAACTCTCTCCGACTTTCTCGACAGCCAACCGACTTGAGTTCTCAGCTATAAATACGCATGGGGTGAGGATTGTCTATTCCAGCTGATACTGAGCCATGAACAGAATGATATCATGCGACAAAGATGCAGCTAGCAGGTAATCAAAGCCGAAACCAAGGAGATAGCCGGCAGCTTTGCAAATATAATAGACAGGACAGGAAAAAACCCCTCAACTTGTCTGCGTATGATAGTAAAAGAATATTAATATTAATGGTAAGATACAGCTTCTCAGCGCAAGCAAGCTCATCTTCATACTCATCACGTGGGAGGCGGCACATCAGCAAGTTTGCCACGCGGTTCTCGTCATCGACAGCATCGGCCGTTCCTAGTATAGAATAAATGTTGGCCCCGACGGGCTATGCTTTGCACAACAATAGAAGGAAGGCCTCAGACGAGGAAAGAAAGAGAAAAGATTATTTGAAATCAATTCTGACCCTCGGCATCGAAGTTTTGTCAGCGAAAGCTCATCCCTGCAGCATGCGATGCACAATCCCCCTCCATGACGACTTCAATTTGATGTGCCGAACGTCTGGAGGCAACATACAAATAAATACCCATTGACCTTCTCCGAACACAACGTTGTAATTCACGTCATTTCACATCCAAACCTCATCATCTTCAACAACACCATCACCTACCGAACTTCCACCCTCATCACCCAAGAACCAAAACAAACCACCCACCCTGCCGTCCCTCACCCCACGCACCCTCGTCCTCAGCACCCTCGTCCTCCTCATGGCCTTCACCATGCCGACCTTCCTCAACCGGCTCATGCGCCCCTTCACAAGCAGCACCCGCATGAGCCTCGGCGGCAGCGAGTCCGCCCCCATCTCCTCCCCGAACGGCGCCCAGAAAGCCACCATCGCCGCCGGCTGCTTCTGGGGCGTCGAGCACATGTACCGCAAGGAGTTCAAGGGCAAGGGACTGTACGACGCGCGGGTGGGCTACATCGGCGGGGACGGCGCCAATCCGAGCTACAGGGCCGTCTGCTCGGGGAGGACTGGCCGTACGTATAATAATCAGGATCCCCGTCAAGGAAACGTCTGAAGCATTGGCTAACCACGTGTGGGAATGCGACCAACAGACGCCGAAGCCCTCCAGGTGACCTACGACCCGGCCCAGCTCAGCTACCGACAGCTCCTCGAGTTCTTCTACAAGATGCACGACCCGACGACGGCGAACCGCCAGGGGCCCGACACGGGCTCGCAGTACCGCTCGGGCATCTTCTACCACGACGCCGAGCAGGAGGGCGTGGCGCGCGAGGTTACCAAGCGCGCGAACGAGAAGTGGTGGAAGGGCAAGATCGTGACGGAGATCCTGCCCGCGGGCGAGTGGTGGGATGCCGAGGCCTACCACCAGAAATATCTGGACAATAACCCGGGCGGCTATGAGTGTCCGAGTCACTTTTTGAGGAGTTTCCCGCCTTTGGATTGAGGGCCTAGGGCAGGTGTTGATGGAGAGAGTGAGAGACTTTTGCGTGGCAGGTGTGCTTCTTGGAGAAAATGGAAATAGAAAGGAGAGATACCTGGCGATGATTGATGAATAAATTGTATGATAAATCGGTAGCATTAATTATGGAATGCAATTACTGTACTCATGTTTTAAGATCAGTGGATGGCAAGCAGTCTCTGGCATGATATGTGGACAAACTCCAAATAAAAGAACCGATATATTGCCAGCATTAACTCCCTCACACATTACATGAGGAGTTCAACGGAGAATTTTGCTACGTTGATTTTGGTATATTCTGTGTCAAGTTCTGGCCGACTACCGCTAAATTCAATACAGACAAAAGAGAGGAGACTTTCCGTCGTCTTCGATAATACAGGCCATATTGGTTTACCCGCCCACCCATTCGCTTTGCTCCTTGACTACCAATAGTGTCCCTTGCCTATCCTTACAAACTCTCGCACACCACCTACTTTCTGCGTCCTTGCTGCATCATCAAGATCTGAACGAACCGAACAAAGATGTTCAAGAAGTCCAACTCCAGACTCATGCTCTCGTTAACCGGATCCTTGGCCATCAAGCCCCGCTCAGCCATACGAGCATGCATCAGAATCTTCTGCACATCGTACAGCGTGAAGCCTCCGAAGACAGCCAATCCTCCGTACAGCCAGATATTCTCAGTGAAGGCAAGAGTTCGGACAGCGGTAGCTGGGAGAACGAGAGGGGCAAATCCAGAGACGGCGACGAGAGCAACACCAGCCAAAAGAGGTCCACCGAGGTAGAGGTACTTCTCTTGCTTGGCAGTGGCGCCGACGAAAGAGATCGAGCCCATCATAGCGATTGTGTAGAGTCCAGCGCGACCGATGATAGCGGGTGGAGCCATGAAGAGGAGTGGTGCGAGGAGAGCTCCTTGAGTAACGTTGAATGCTGACCAGAGACCATACTTTTGCATATAGCTGCAATCGTTAGATACAAAACTTGACTCTTAACGAGAAAGATGACTTACTTTTCAGGGCTTGTGGCTCTCGTTCCCATCATCGTTCCGATGCTAAGTGCGAGTCCTCCGATCATAACAACCCAAGGGTTGGTAGCCATCAATCTGTACGTAAAGCCGCTCTGGAACATAGCTCTGGCCGAAAGTCCGATGATACCAATTCCCAAGCCCGTATGCATAAATGTATCATTGAGGTATGCTCTCTCGAACGGCGGCATACCTCCATCTTCTCTCGTCTCGCGGTTGAATACTAGGTTGATCGCAAGTACTTTTGTCCATCAGCAACGTCCTTTACACATTCGAGATGTTCCACCTACAAGTTCCACCAAACATCGCCCCTCCAACTACCAGTTTCTGCACCAAGTTCCCGCCACCCGGAGTCTGGATAGCTGGCTGCTGCATGTATGTCCTCGATTGTCTGAACGCATTTCGAGCTTTCGTAAGAGTAGTAACTGGTATCGTCGAGCGCGAGGTGAAAAATTGGTTTGCGGGTCTGCTGCTGTGGAATGATCGGACAGGTGCGCCACTGGAGCGGAAGACGGTCTTGGAAGCTCCTGCCAGGGCGGACGTGAGCCGAAAAGGCTGTCGCATCGTGAAGGCCATGATTGTAGTTGTGGATTTGAAGGGATCGATGTGGTGATGGTGCGTATATGCTGGATAATGAGTACCTTCAGAGGGAGGCGGCGATGGTTGACGTCGTTTGCGGGGATAACTTCGGATTTAAGAGTTCTGACTGGCTTTTGAGTGCTGGCTCAAGCTGGAAGCTTCGATGATTAGTCAGAGTTATATCACGTGATAATACCATTCAATATCTCATTGCTAGGTACTTATTTAATTACTGTCGTCCTGGCTGCAACAAATTTTTAACACTTTATCTATCCTACTTCCTGATTGATCAATTGGAGTCAGACAAACGCCGAGCTGCTCTATTTTGACAAACTGTTTTTAACCTGTTTTTCCTCTCGAATCTCTTTCCTGACTGCTAAGTTGGGTTCACATGCGTCGTGCGGGCCATTGAACTTCTGTTTTGCATCGATACAAATGGAAATTGTCTGCTTTGGGCAAAATGAATATGCAGCCGTTGGGTCATCCTGCGATGCCGCTAGTACAGGATCCTAATACTTGATGTGCTTGCTTAGTTTGCTTATAGCCCTTCAGCCATACCTCTCTTCCTACGATATATATCCTGGCAAGAAAGATATCATGTACTCTGTTTCTGCAAAGATATTTTCTCACAAAGTTCAAATGACAGGATGGACCGAGAGATTCAACCGCCGGTGAGCAAAACGACCCGCGTCAACCATCAGATTCCTCCGTCCTGCCGATCTAAGTACGCCACAAATCGAACATGTTCCGCATGTGGGCTTGCTGCCCCGGCGTGAATTCGTTCGTACTGGCCTGGATTCAGCATGTCGCTTTATACCATCACGTTCACGAAAGCGGAACTTACCAACTGTCGTCATTGTACCCCATGAAATTATGGATAGGATCCAGCCCCGGCAAATCCGGACAGGAATCGCTCCCGACAACGCATCCCAAGGAGCTCTGCGTAGCAGGCGTGTCGGCCACATTATCATTGAAGCTATCGCACGTCCGACCCTGAAAAGGGTGCAGCACGCCAAACCAGTGGCCGACCTCGTGGACCGCCATGTGTCCTCTCGGCGGGGGCTCCACGATCGTCGCCCGCGACAGGCCCGGCATGGTGTTCCCATTCACGACACAACCGTCAAGGTAGAAGGCCGAGCTACCCTCGGCGACGGACCGGGGAAGGTTACACTGCCCGCCAAGATCGTCGTACAGATCGGTAAAGAAGTACACGTTCAGCGCGGCATAGTTCCCCCGCCGCGTGGCGCTCATGAACGCCGTGTAGGCGTCGAAGTCACTGATGCTGCCGTTGACGTAGAAGCCGCGGCCGACTTGGTCGTCGACGACCCGCGACGTGTTGACCAGGCGGAAAGAGAAGCCGGCTGGGAGGAAAGAGGCGCGCAGCACGTCAAACTTCATAGGAACCGATCAGATCAGATCAGATTCTTGTGGTAGGTGATAGATTGCTCCATCTAGTGAACACTTACCTGATCAGTCACGATCTTATCAGTGATCCTGTTTTGATTTGCCACGGTGCTTCCAATATGGAAGTAGACGTCCACCTCGGTTATGTTATTCGGAGACGCGACTTCTTGCCGACGGGCGACTGGAGATTGCGGCTGCTGGACCTCATAATAATCCTGGTTTGCGCATCTCTGTGCGGATAGGACTCCGCATAGTGTGAGCGTAAGCAGCAGCACAGAGGTCATCATTTTATGAAGGAGATGAATATGATTCTCATTAAAAGAGGTGGGTGAACAACCGCAAATCCCATTTGTGCTTTATCGACTTGTGTTTACCCCTATCTAGCTACGACAATCATGCTGCAAGCAATTTCTAAAAATTGATACGAGATACCTTGAATGTGCCAAGGTCAATATCACTGCTTATAACCTCCCATTCTAGAAGGTATACGAGGTTGCCAAGGCTTGCCAAGTACCCACGTCTTCGTCAGTTGCTCAGTCTTCCAAGGAGATGTGCACTTGCACGACTCAGCGTTTACCTGAAGTTAGCCGATGATCCCCCCAACTCTTTGGCGGTACCGACCACCATTCTCTACAACAACGTGAAATGCACATTACCGAGCCTTAAAGATGCAATGTAGTCCGCCTAAGCTCCTAGTATGTAAACAAACGACCCCCCCTTTCTCCTTCTTCTTCTTTTTCTTCTCTCTATAAATCTCGCGGCGCAGCGATAAAAACCCATATCCCAGACGAGTGAAGCCATGAGCCCAGAAAGCGAAGGCACCAGTTTCGTACAGATCGCGCCCTGCCTATTCGCCTATTCGCCTATCGCTCGCTCGCTCATGCACAGCGCCTATTCCGCCTCGCTATGTCCGTCTATTGCATTTACGTATATCAAAATCCATTTACACCACCGGCCCATCCTCCTTCCTTGCCATCGTTCCGTTGCTACTTAAGGTAGACTTCACTTCGTGCTTCGTGACTTCGTAGGCTTAGCAAATGTGGGGTACTCTGTGACGAGATCATCTCAACGTCCCATTCCCCTTCTTCGTTTCAAACTTCAGCCCTCTCCGCCCATACATCCGCCGACTCCTCTCCTCACCACCAGCATCCAGCCACTTCTGGAGATTCTTACACTGACTCACGTCGAACTTCTCCAGTATCGTGCAGCCCTCGACTACGGCTTCAACACCAATACCCGTCACCCGAACACAGCCTCTGACGCTCAACTCCTTCAATTCCAATAAGTGCAATCCAATTGATCGAAGAGACGAATCAGAAACCGCAGAGCCGCAGAAGGCAAGTTTGAGCGAGCGCAGTTGCGGACAGCCGAGCGAAAGGACTTCGGTCGCCGTATCAGAGAGCGCGCAGCAGAAAGACTGGTCACAATTAGTTAAAGTTATTTAAAGATTCGAATGGCCACCTACCAAGTCCAGCTCCTTCAGCCCCTTCGCAGCATTCGTCAGGTAGACAATGGCGTTATCAGTCAGATACGTGCAGTCGGCCAGGATGAGCTTCTCCAGCTTAGCGAACTTGTAGATGCTCCAGTGCTGGAAGCCGCCATCAGTGATGGTCGTGCAGCGCGTAAGATCCATGCTCTGGAGTCTCTGATGTGCGTGGACTGCTAGATGTGCCATGGAGCGATCAGTTACGTGTTTACAGTAACTCAGTGTGAGCCGCTTAAGTTTTGGACAGCCTACAACTGTGCCGACGGGAGGTATCAGAGCATAATGCTGCTTGTACCTTGCTGCATTTTGTTGCTGCGCCAATGTCGGCTCTGTGACAACCCAGCCTACGATACGGGCGAGAAGGTTGTCGCTGACTTTACGGCAATTGGAGAGGTCAATTTCCTCCATTTCCTTCGCGTTGTTGGCCATTTCCAGGACGGCGTTCGCAGAAATATCCCATACACTTTTCATCTTCCACGCATGTACACCCCTACCGCATAGAGATGAAAGGGCTGAGAACCCTTCATCGGTAAGGTGGAAGCAGTTGCTAATATCAATGCTGAGCGCTCGTTTGCCGACAAAGGGAATTATGACATCGATCAGTGCCTTGTTTGTGACTGTGCGATTATAAATGGAGAGATCGAGGTTATTGCAGACGTCCGGTGACGTAGTGAGAATTTTGGACCAGTGCAGAGATACAGAGCGCAGGCGCATGAGCTGGTAGATGTCAAGATACGAAAATATGAGGATCAATACCCCATCCGGAAGCACTCCCTCGCTTTTTTTGCTAGGTCTTCTCTGGAAAATCTTCGCTCGCTTGGGACGGAAAGTTGAATCTGGAGGTGTCATGGCGTGAATGGGCCTCGAAGGTGTGGGTGTCTGAGACCGCGACCTGGTCCTTGGCCCCGTTTGCTCGTCTGGAGGTGGTGTTTCCGGGACTGGGGGGGCAAGAGAGCCTCTTCGTGGCGTCCGGGATCTCATATTGTCCATATCGACACTCAAGAACGGGTCAGGGTCCGTAGGCTCCATATTATCTTGATCTTCCGCGCGACTGGGCGTGTGTGAACTCGCAAATTTCGATGGGGTGAACGTGACTTCAGGGAGTGTGCAGCGATTGGGAGTAATAGGTCTTTCGTGATTCTCCAAGCTATTGGTTGACGGATCATCGATGTCGACCATATGAACATCTTGATCTTCCGACTTTCCAATCCTGGTCTTTGCCGTTTGCTCCACCTGCCTCCGGATGTCTGGCGAGCATCTTCTCCAAAGTTCCTCCAGGACTTCACCACTGATCATCAGACATTCGACCGTCGTGATGGATCTCACAGTAGCTGTCCGTCTTGGTGCCAAGGCCAAACTAGCAACTTCGCCAAAATATTGACCTTGCTTCAGCCTTGGTCGGATGTATGAGCCTCGTGGCGGCTGAGTTTGGCCATTGGTCGTCTCATGGATGACTTCGGCCTCGCCTCTTACAATAAAGTAAATTTCATTCCCTGGCGAGCCTTGTAGAATAATGTCTGTGAACGGCGGATAGGTTTTCGGCTGAGTACTCAGCCCGAGGAAATGAAGAATTTCCGTCGGCAGTGTGGAAAACAGTGGCAAATCCTTGAGGGTCTTCCGCACGTTGATGAAGCCGCTTCCTAAGGCACTGCCGGCAGCTGGATCCTCAATTCCCTGAGGACTGGGCGATTTCCTTTTTTTCGTATTGATCACCGCTCCCTTCTCAATTACCCCCACATCTCCCGTCGAGACCTCACCTGGGGCAGGCTCACGAGCCAAAAGCTTACCGCCTCTTGATGGAAGGACAGTGGAGATCAATTTTGGTCCTTTTCCGCTTTCTTTCCTTTTCTTGTTTAATATTGTGAGCCGCTCTTGCGCTTCATCCATGATAGCCTTCTCCATTTCTGGGAATTTGGGCAACTCCTGCCGTAAATCCTCTTTCTTCAATACCACCAGCAGACATTTTGTTCTCGCCAGGATAGTGGCTGTTCGGGGGACGTCCATGAGGATGCCAATCTCTCCGAAGAAAGACCCGGGCCTCAACTCGGCATATGTAGCCTCCCCATCGCGAGAGGTGACTGCCACTGCTCCCCTGACCAGCCAGTACATCGCCTTCGCCTCGTCTCCCTCAGTCAATATTATATCGTGTGGAGAGTGAACCTGGGGTCGCAGGTGCTTTCCGATGGCAGCTAGGAACGAGTCGGGGGCGGAGAGGAAGAGAGGGAAGGATCGTATGCGGTCGACGATATCGAGTGGCATATCGGGGATGGTTGAGGCAGTCAGGGGAGACGGGCGTATTGGACGAGTCGGGTTCGTCTCGATGTTGAAGGATCGGATCAAGGACAGCGAGTCTGGAATAGGGGCGCCATTTGTCCTGAACGACGAGCTGGGCCCTCCACGGTTCCGTCGCATCTTGGATGGTGGTTCTTATGGTACTCCTCCAATCCGACTGATTACACGGCCAGCGGCCGTTGTGCCGGTTGAGCTACCAGATGACGGTCAGGTCTCCAGGTAGGCAGAAGCAGATCGGGAGTTGTTTGGCTGGGGTTTATAGTTACAGTTGCAATTGTGGTTATAGTTGTAACTGTAATAGATACTCGACCGGTCCCGGGTGTTCCTGTGTGTAATGACTGACGTACCAGCTCGAAGAGGGTTGGTTCACCGCGGGTTGAAGGCGTTGTTCAGATTCCCAGGAGCGGATCATATATGATAACAAATATAGATATATATATTTATCGACAAATTTGCATATATATTTATATGCCAACCCCGTACCTCTTCGAAGGGTCGGTGGCCCAGGTTTGCTCTTTGTTCTGCTCGTTTCCACGGCGTGAGGCGCGTGCGTCGGTCGTGTCTGGTCGGCTGTTACTTAGGGAGAGTGATATTATTAGCTGGGTAATCCAGTCCTGAGTCCTGACGCATCTCTGGATCTGCGGGGTTCTTAACCTACATACCTTCTTCACTTCTTCCCTTTACTCTCCTGCGCAGGTCGAGGTTGGGGTCAGGTTACGCAAGACAAGCTGAGGGTGACGGTAAGGGTGAGGGTGAGGGGCCAGAATCTGGTGTCACTGGGAAGGGTGGATGAAGCTGCTCAGTACCCAGGTATCTGCTCGACGACGACGACTCCGACTCCGACTCCGACTCTGGTGGTGGCAGTGGCACACAGAATCTGGACGGGGATGGGACAGGCAAAGGAGTCGGGCGGGAAATAGAATCAATGCACGGAGCGCTGTATACATCAGGCGTTCCAGCTCCGGACATAAGGCTATTCGCATGCCCAATTGGCTGGAACACGGTCTCTTAGTAATAATTCATAATTTACCTATACCTGACTTGCCGAGACGGAGCTTGAGTGGCCTGGGTGGAGCTGGAGATGAAAATATGTTTTCTTCTTGCAGATAGATATAGGTTCTGGTATGGATAGAATGCAACGATGGGAAGCGATGCACGAACAAAGATAGAGATAAAGATATGTAGATTAATTTTAATATAAAGGTAATATATATATTAATATAAATATATAGATATATATCTGTATATGTCTCTCTATATATTAATTGCTCCCAGGCGCGGGTAGCTACCTAACTGGTAGATTCTCGCTTCATTCCTCCGCCAGGACAACTCGACATGGATGCGAGCCCAGCAGCCCAGCCCAGCCCAGCCCGAGCCCACCGACGGTGAGATTGGCTTCTTCCAGAATCCTTCTAGAAGCCGAGGGGCCGAGAGTGTTTTGGCTCGTGCCACCCTTGGGACGCCGTCCTTTCTTCTAAAAACAAAAAGGTCAATATACTAGTAATAAATAATTAGTGCGCTGATTATTATTACCAGCGGTACGATTATTTATAACCGACGTAGCAATTACGAATACGGTTCAAGAAAGAGATATATATTTCTTCCTGCACTTGGCTGAGGTTTAATTCATTATCCTTATTCTCTGTAAGTTCGTTTCCTCAATGTCAGCTCGCATCATTAAGAGACTTATACAAACACGATGCTACGGTCAAAGTCTATCTTCACGATCTTGCTAACCTTGAGCTTTTTATCTGAAAAGGCTAAAGCTCAAGGATTTTGGTGGTGGCGCCAACCAACAGAACAGATAATCATCGGCTATGCACAACTTCCCGAAGTAAGTTTCACTTTGATTTACCACTCCTCCTCCCGAATAAATCCCGCCTGGGGGTGGCTCAAAAGCTTAAAACTCTACCTTAAACCTGGTTTCCCTACCCTCAGGTGGTAATTACTACCACTATTACGCCCGTGAGGTTGTATATAGCATAAGCTTATATTAATCGCGCAGATTATAGGAGCAGGCTAAGCGCATCAATCAAAGCAACAAGCTCTATGTAGACGAATCCCCATACCTTAATCGATTAGGACTTGGCTTTTATCTAAGTGAGCTGATCTATATACTTTGGATCGTTATCCATTACGCGAAGCTAATAATCCAAATAGTAAACGACCCTAGGGTCTGGCTAGGTAAAGAAGGGGGTTGGTATTGTGCTATCAAAGCGAATGAGAGTAAGATGAGAAATATTGAAAAAGTCTATATCCCGAAATCTTATGAACAAAAGATTTGGAATCGTGTTGAGCAAGTAAATTTATGGGGCGGAACCGAAGAAGTCATTGTGGATTACATTGAATTCGAGTCAAAGCCAAAAATATTACAGCCCGAAAAAGCGCTGCGCTTCTCCCTCAATTGGCAGATGCAAATGCTTATTCCAACGAAAGTGGTAGATAACGGTGATTTGGATTTATGGGGTAAATGCTTTCGATCTGAGAATGAGCTGAAGCAATTTTCGTATAATATTATTGATTGGGAATCTTGGAATATTAAAGGAGATCGTGGAAAACCGGTCTATGATCCTGTTTTTAGGTTCGGAAAAGGGGGGGAGGTCACTTGGTGGTAGCTGCGCATGTGGCCATATATACTACTATATATAGTAGTAGATCCCTTGTGCTCACCCGAGCTTCCCGTTAGCTAGCAATATGCAATTTACAGTTACAGCTACATAAAAGATGCAGGACGGCTTTCCAACTCACTCCCAATCATGGGTCACGGAGTATCACTTGTAACTCTTCCCGTAGTCCTCTCAACTGCATTGCATTGCATGGCATGTCACTATACTATACTGCAGTAAGACCGTAGCTAAAGCTAGCTGGCAGGCTGGCTCAAAGAGCCAACTTGAGACTAAATAGAGCGTAAACATACACAGACCTTTTATTTAGAGAAGAATCGCGGGGACCGAAAGCTATGACAGCCAGGGAGTGCTTATGATCATTACTGAACCTTGTTGCACATGCCACGTCTGGGCTTGTCTTGCTGTATCTAAACTCAAGTAAGATCCGCCTTCTCGGCAGGAGGTGCACGGTCAAGGTTATTCATGCGCATTACTATACTTCTATTCTATATAAGAACAAGAGGAAGCAGCTGCGATCGTGGGAGGAACACAACCCAGCTTTTGGCCTGTTGTTACTCCTTCTAACGAGGTAATGACATAAAAGGAATGCGGGCTCAACAAGCTCTGTTCAACCGCTTGGTCGAATCGGAGATCTCGATCGTGTGTATGAAACGTGAATTGACCGCAACACAGAAGAGCTGAAACACCGAACCACTGTTACGGGTCGCAAAATTATTAGAGCCAATTTTCTGGATGCAGAGGGAAGCTCTTGGGAACGGGCCGATATCTGAGCTTCGAATCCGAAGAAAAAGGTTGTCGGGAGCTTCGAAGGGCTCGCTTCGACGATGAGGTGTGACGCGCTTTGTTTTCGATGTCACGTGTACGTATACGTATGATATACGAAGCTGCTGATGTCAAAGGTCTCCGGGGTGGGCTATTCTGGCCCAGCGTTTTACAAGTGCGACTGACCTCAGTTCTTTTGGCAAGGTACTTGTCTTGACGTATTCGTCATTTCCTTTTGCGTCATGGATCGCATATCCTGGAAACCTATGGGATTTTGTCCTGTCTACTGTGAAACAAGTCTTCCTTCGCGCAGGTCGATAGGCGATTATAGGATTCAACAACAGATCCCACCAGTCCAAGTTTAGCTTTGAAAGTTTGAAGCACACCCTGCGTTTCTGCTGACATCAAACCCGTAAGCTACCAACGACCTCCATACCCCATAGTGGAATTAACCTCGCTAAGCGAAATCAATAATAAAATATCACACGAATATCACTCATCATAGACCTTCCATCTCTCCCTCTGGCGTCGGCGCCACAACCTTCACACCCGGCACCTTTCCCGTTCCCCTTCCTCCACTTCTCGCACTTGGGAGCGCCAGCGTAAAACTATGTCTCTCTACAACCCACCTCGCCACCTCGTTCTGAACCAACTCCTCCACACCACCTTGCACATTCGACCTTGCCACCCCAAGCTCGTCGACACCTTGCGATACATAGCACACCGCCGTCCCTTTCAGAGTCATATTCTGCAACCAATACTGTAGCCTGGCAGCCGATTTCGGCCACGTACTCACCGCCGCCACTAAGCTCATCGGACACTGAACCTGCACTTCATCACTTCCAGCCCCCGGATGAAGATGGAAATCACAAGGCAGGTGCTCCCACGGCTCCAAAAAACAATTCGGCACCACCAAGGCGTCCATCCGGAGATACTCGAACAGATCTTTCGTTAGGTCCGGCAAGTCAGTCGCGAGCTTGTACAGCTTCTCAATCTTGAACAGCGGGGGCCCTCGACCCCCTCCGGCGCCGGACCTGATCACCAGGTGGAAGTAACTCGTGATAAACTTCCGGAGCGGGGAGTGCTCGTTCGAGTTCTCGTACACATAGCGACACCAACTCTTGAATACTTTCCACTCCAGCTTCATGCCCGGACCAGCGTGGCGAAGGAATGCATTGATCGAGTCCATCGCCAGATTGTGCAGCAGCACCATCCCGTACTTATCCGCCAGACAACACAGCTTCAGCCTCACCGAGCAGAACTTCGTGACCTCCGCGTTGAAGACGGCGTCGCTGGCCTGGCGCGTCAGGGCAGGCAGTTTGCCGGTGTAGCACCACTGGACCAGCAGCTCCCAGGCCGCGGGGTCGTCGTCGGGGAACTCGGCGGCGGAAGTCACGCTCTCGAGGAACTTGCCGTTGAACATCCTGTCAAAGTAGCGGGCGGCCTGCACGAACATTGCCTTGTGGATTTGGAAAAGCTTGCGCTCGGCGCCGACGTGGATCGTGAGCACTGGGGACGACAGTTTCCTACCGCGGTCCTAGTCAGCACTCTATACCTTCTGAGGGTGGAGACTCTAGAGGAGACGTGGGTGGGTGGGCTTTACTCCAAGTAGCAGGGTGGAGGCGGCAGCGCAGCAGGCCAGAAACAAGGCCCATCGTACGGCAGCGTGCCTGCCCACGATCCGCCATCCCCCACTTCCCCGACAGCATTGCCCCGCTGACGCTTCAAAGGCGGCGACGGCATCCTCTCTTCGCTCTCATCCAACGGGCCCGGTGTGGGAAGAGTGGTGTATCGCTGCAACGTCGGCACCGGCACTCGATTATGAGCTGCGTTTGCTTGCCTCAGACCTGAAGCCATTTGCGAATCTTGAAAGTGGTACATCCCCTCTCCATCTACATCCACAAAGTGCCCCGGGACTGGCATGGCTTGGTGGGTAGGGTGCTGGAGCATCTGCATCCGCTGGGTGGCCAGTGCCTGCTCCTGGGCTAGGTAAACTTGCATCTCTTGCAGCTGGGCTTGTCGCATCTGCATCTCCTGCGCTTGCTGCTGCTGCTGATTCTGCGGAACGGTATACTGCGACGGTGACCAGTGGTAATAGGACATGGTGAGCTCGCTCTTGACCCTCTCGATGGGTGTTGAAATCGCAGAGGGAAAACGTGCCGATTAAGTCTTGGAATCGTACACGAGATGGAGACGGGAAGGGTAGCACCAGTGTGGATTTCCTTGTGTGCGGTGGCACAGCATCGTTTGTTTACCTCGCTTACCCATGCGCCCTCTGAGATCAACCTCTCGAGTCTGAGGGCAACAAAGCCAGCCACCAATGGGAGGACGTGGGGCTCTCTGTATAGATCCGACCTTCCAACCTTAGGTCTGGACAGTGATCGCCCATGCGGTTATGTTACATATCCTCTTGCCTACTCCAGCATATGCAAACCCGACCGTGTCGCGCGAAATCGCTCAAGTATCTGTATATTTTCTTCGCTCGACGGACAAAGTGAATGATAACAGGAAGTATACTTTTATGGTGTTACATGTTACATGCTGCTTGCGAGCATTCCCAAATTGGATTCAGATGAGCATTTTTCAGAAGGCGGCCTTCCGGAGAGTAGGGCGGGGTGACGATGTTTTTTTTTTAATTTTTTTTTTTTAAAAAAAAAGGGTTTCACGAAGATCACGATACGGGATTCGAGAATCCGTGACGTCTCAGGAATATCGAGTCTGATTTAACTCTTTCCACTAGCCAAATATACACTCTCGTGATTCTCCTCTTCTGCCTCTTTGCTTGCCTAACTTCTCTCTCTCTCTCTCTCTCACACACATATATCTAAACTCCAGCAGCTTCAATTCAAGTCCAGTTCCGCAACAACTTTTGAAATAAATCGTGTGAGAACTTGTCCGCATCTCCGTAGGTTCCAAATGCAGCTGCCGATGTCAGGCCACCAAGGTACCCCACCCCGCCATGCATTTCGCTTAGCAGAACCCTCGCACGCACACCTCACACAGCCTCGGTCAAAAAAAAAAAATTCAATATAAAGCCACAAACCGACTGGTGATCAGACTCAGAGCATCAAATGTCTGATCAGTATCCCTCGTGGCGCAATTGGCTAGCGCGTTCGACTGTTAGTCTCTAGCAATATGTCTGCAATCGAGAGGTTGGTGGTTCGAGCCCACCCGAGGGAGATTGTGTTGCCACACACTCGGTACTATTTTGCTCTTTTTGAGCATTTTGCTTCCTATGTTTGATAGTTTTCAACTTGGCGTGATGAGCTTGGCTGGCGATTTTTTTTTTCTCTTTTGGCGAGGAGATTTTCGCGGGCCGGGCCGGAGCGAGACGTTTTTGCGATCGTGATCAGTTCGTTAAGTTAGTAAGTTAGTTATTAGAATCTGTGAACCTGGCCTTCCTCCTGGTCAGTGTCTCACAGTGGCAGGCAGGCAGGCAGGTAAGTTCCGCATCATATTTTGATATGCTGCCTACCGGTATACAATGCTCTAGGATAAATAAAGATCAGCAGCCAACGAGCCGTCGTCGAGCCTTCTCAATTTCCCGCCCGTCAATCCACAGATCGTCGGACATTTAAGGCTCTGGTTATTGATGCTACTGTGGGATAGGGATACGGAAGGCGTGCTGCGTTTTCTTCGCGAGGGGTTGGGTGCCAGCTTCGCTTTGCGATTGAAAAACAATTGATTCATCCGGCTTCTTATATGGTGCCTGCTTGTTTGAAAATGATATTTCTGGGGCTCTAGAGGAAGTCGCTCATCCATTTTCCGACTCATGAGCCTGGAATAGACGTATCATATCAAGCTGGGTGTCGTTGAATACCCATGCTATTGTGGTGCGAGTTCGTTGGGAGCATCACACGCAGTCTTAACTGGCTTACCGTTGCCAGTTTTGACAAGAATACTATATTTTTTTTTAAAAACATCAAGTGGTTACGAAGGCTGTGCTTCTACTTGAAGGAGTTCGATTGTTGAGTTTTATTGAAACGTCATAATCTATGGTTATTCCGCCAAGCTCGCTGTCGTATATCAATCATCTTTTGATGATCCAAGCCTGACGTTTCTGCAACAGCCGGTTGACTCCATGTCACAGCTCACAAGAGAGCATTTGGCCCACCACCTCTCCGTTCCCACACGCCGTCTATATTCATGTCAAGGGTTCTAATCGATCCTTATCAGCATCAATGCATTCATGCACGAGGGCGAGAAGGATGTTGCTTACCCATCTATTCTAGGTATTATCGTCGGCTCAGGAGAGTCTGGTCCCGGATCGCGGAACACGACGTTCTTGGTCTGCGTGACGTGAGTAATGAGCGACTGAGAACTTAGAGCACCGCCCAGCGGCAACTTACAATTCCCAGACTCATGTGAATAGCTGGCGGTTCCAGAATTTCGTAGTGCTCCAGCGGCTCGTCGTGGACGAGATGGTGGATGTTTTCCACGACGAGTGCGGCCTGTCGAACAGCTCTTGCAACCTGTCAGTGAAATTGCCTTCACTGAGGGGGACTAGATAAACTCACGGTCTGGCAGCTTTATGCGCTCCGGTCGCTGCTACATCTCCAACAGCGAAAATATTCGGGTATCTTTCGTCAAGAAGCTGTAATGTCTTGGATACGCGAACAAACGAATCGTCGCCAACCGACTCGGGCGACAGTTCTTTCAGGAGATCCGATTGCGGGGTCTGGCCGGTAGCTATAATCGCCAAGTCTGCGGGTATCTTCGCTCCATCTTCCAGCTCTACGTCGAACGTGCTTCCATCTGTTGGATAGCCTCCAGGTGGAAGCTTCACTCTCGAGCCTAGTTTCAGGTTGATTCCCAATTCAGCACTCCGTTCTGCGATGAGGTCGTGGAGCTTGGTGTTAAATCTGTTCATGACGTTTTTGCGGGAGTGAACGAGGGTGACTGATTTCTCTGGGTAGAGCTCCTTGATGTCAGTCGCCATCTGTACACCCACGGCACCGGCTCCAATGATGACTATCGAGGAGCTGCTGATAACTTTCTGAACGTGGTTTTGCAGGTATGCTACTCCTTCGGCTTTACCATCATAGGGGATTGTAGACGGCGGAGTGAGTTTGGTGCCTGTTGCGATGACCTGTGTACGATCAGCGCCGTTTCCGGCTATCTGGGGAGGAGGTACGGACGAGATAAGCAAATGGGATGCTATCCAGCAACTGCCCATCGATTTCGACTTTCCTGTCAAGGTTTACGGAATCTTTCGTGACTCCGGTGACCGATGCTTGCACAAAGCTACCTGATCCTGGGGGACAGGCAGCGAACGTTCCAGGAACGAAAGGAATAAACGCCTTCTTTGTGTCGACCTTGTCGGTGACGGCGAAGCGGGGGAAAGCGAATAAATGTTGAAAATGCGAATGCTTCTCGATCAACAGAACTCTGAAGTGACCCGAGAATTTCGACGCCAGCTGCTGCGCTGCATTGACACCTTTTGTTATCCACATTAGCGAATTGTTCCTCTTTAATTTTGCTGATGACTGTAGGTGGGATGTGGAAGACTAACCGACATAACTACCGCCAACGACAATAATGTTCTTTAAGATCGACATTTCGGGTATACTTGATGGATCAGAGACGAGTGAGGCAAGGTACCAGAAAATGAACAAGAGGGCTTTGAGCATTCTCTACATCATAAAGACTTTATAGCTGAGGAAACGAATCCGAGTCGCGGACTTATGGGTCTGTTGTGTCTCGGCTCCCACACTCGGATACTGTACGAGAGTCTATTGTTCGGTCTTGGAATCGGGACTTGCACACACAGACGAGCGTGAAAGTATATTGCCGCATCCATCCAAATCGCATATACCGGTACGTAGTAAGAGTGGCAACGGCGGATGATTGCATCATTGCGCTGTAAGCAATCGGATTGATAATTGAAGACATGATGCGAATTTGATCTCTGTGGCCGACATGAAGAACAAGCCGGTGTGAAGGGACCAAGAAAATGGAAATCTAAAGCTGTGGGAGGAAGTCCTGTAGGTTTTCGTATTTGTATTGTAATAGGTGATTCAAATACGATAGGTAATCGCAACGGAAGAGAGATATCAAATCTTGTGTGGCCATTGAGAAGTGGCTGAAGTTGTTGTGTGGCTATTTACTGAGGTCCGCCCCACCTTTATCCTCACCCGCAAAACATCACGCGTCGAGCTTCAACAACGCGACATTTGAAATTCTGTAGGATACAGCACCTCAAATTTCTATCCTCGACCATCACAAGCTGCAGCCATGACTTCGCAACCTATGAATTCGTCAATGCAACCCACCGACGTCTACGGAGGAGGTATTCCGCCCCTAGCCACCCGCCCTCGACCAGCTCTAACAAATACCCTCCACAGATGAAGTGTCAGCGATTATCCTGGATCCGGGATACTCGAGCGTGCGCGCCGGCTTCGCAGGAGAAGACGCCCCCAAATCCTTTATCAATTCCCATTACGGTGCCTCAGAGCGCGGCGAGGTCTTCGGCGACGATGCGATTCACAACCCGCTCGCAGGGCTGGAGATCCGCAATCCTATGTCGAAGGATGGCATTGTGGAGGACTGGGACACGGCCACACGACTATGGGAATACGCGATCACATCACGACTCACGAGCTTCAAGCAGGCGGATCCGCGGACGAATGGGCTCAACGATGATCTGAAGGACGTGGACGTGGAGATGGAGAATGCCGAGGAGGGGGAGAAGCCATTGGAGGAGCACCCTCTGCTAATGACAGAGACCGCGTGGAATACGTCGAAGAACAGAGAGAAGGCGATCGAGATTGCGATGGAGTCCTGGGGATGCCCTGCATTCTGGCTGGCGCGCAACAGTGTCATGGCAGCTTTCGGTGCTGGGAAGGCTACGGCGCTGGTTATCGACGTTGGAGCTACGCAAGCTTCAGTCGTGGCCGTACACGACGGTCTCATTCTCAAGAAATCTATTCAACGGTCGAATTTGGCTGGCAACTGGCTCTCATCGCAAATCCGCACACTGTTCAACACCCAAGAACCCAAGGTCGAGCTGGTACCGCACTACATGATCTCCTCCAAGACACCCGTCGACGCTGGTGCTCCGGCGCAACCGACTTTCCGTCAATTCGATAAGAAACCTACAGACAGTTTCCGCGCCTTAGAAGAAGACCGCGTGCTCACCGAATTCAAAGAGTCGGTCGTGCAAACCTGGGCCGGTCCTGGCCGCCTCAACCACGTCGACCAACAAGGCACCAACAACCTCGCATACGCGCGATCCCAGCCCGGCCGCGTCTTCGAGATGCCAGACGGCTACAACCAGATGTGGGGTGTCGAGCGCTTCCAAGTCGCGGAAGGCATGTGGGACGAGAAAGCTGCGTACCCAGTCCCAGGCGAAGGACCTGTCGGACGCACGAGCACGCTTATCGAGCTGGTAAAGGCGAGCGTGCTGGCCGTGGATATCGATGTGCGGATAAATCTTTTAGGTAACGTCGTGGTCACGGGCGGCACGACGCTGATTAACGGGTTCACGGATCGGCTGCATAATGAGCTGCTGGCACAGTTTCCGGGCGCGAGGATCAAGATCCAGGCTGCGGGTCTGACGACCGAGAGGAGGTTTGGGAGCTGGATCGGAGGAAGCATTCTGGGGAGTTTGGGCACCTTCCATCAGATGTGGATCTCCAAGGCGGAGTACGCCGAATTTGGAAATACCGTGGTGGAACGAAGATGTAAATGAGGGAAAAGGGAAAACGATAATTTGATACGATGATACGTTTTGCTGCTGCTGGAGCTTTTTGGCATGCCAGAAAAGTTATGTATGGTATTGTATTGCAGTGTAAACCTATACCTCTATGGTAACCAGATATCCATTCTGTTTGAACTCGTCCAAACTTAGCATATATGTATGTGCAACAGCTCTCCCGCGTACCTCTCTCAGACCTCTCCAGCCCTCTAGCATACATCTGCAACAGCTCTCTCAGATATTTTCAGCCCTAGAAATACTTCTTCAACTGCAAGAACTGCTCCTCTCTCCAGACTATTCCAGATACAAGCAACCATAGCTCTCCGGCCAGTACACCCAAGGTGTAAGCATACCTCCGTAACCTTCCACCGCAGACAGCTAGCTAACTTATACCTGCGCTGCACACATCTCTCAGAACCCTTCTGGTAGCAGTCAGGCGCTCATCGACAAGGTCGACGATCGATGCTCAGACAGCCAAGATCTGGTCAATTAGTCTTTCGATCTTTTCAGGACTGCACTCAGACCTCCTTGCTTTGTATATAGATGTGACGAGCGGCTTGGTTCCAGTGCGGAAAGTTTGCTCATGGGAGAGAGGAAAAGTTGAGGGAGCTTAGCTGGACTGCAGGATGGTGGCGTACGATGTTCGAGTTTGCTGGCTATGCCATTCTGGCTATGTAGACCAAAACATGAATGGGTCGAAGCTCTATTTATCTTTGCAGTCTATCTCCATCCTCAGGTATTCCTCATCCAAAAATCATGGTCCTGTTCTCCTGGTAACATTGCATGATGTAAACAAACAATCGGAAGCCAACCGAGCTCACCACCCCCGCCACCTCGGCCAAACATCGACAACCTTATCGCCCCCATCAACCACCAGATACCACCCAAAGCCCGCACCAGCGATACACGCGTGATTCGGCCAGATCCTCACCTTCTGGCCCACGCTCAACTTCTCCTCGTCCGGCACCTCCCCCACGCTTCCTTCCAACCCCAACCCCTTCCCCGACCCCCAGACCAGAACGCCGTGTTCCTGGCTCAGCCGCCCAACTTGCCAGCCGACGTGCGTCTCCGGCCCCGAGGAAGGTGGAGGCACGCCGGGTCGGTTCCAGTTGGAGAGGATGCCCCAGCCGGAGTAGGCCTTGCAGGGCTCGCGGCCCAAGGCGAGGACGCCGCTGCTCACGAGGGCTTCGGGGGAGTTGTTGGGGCCGCGGGTCGGGTACAAGGAGGCGATATCGGCGAGGATGCTGAGGGCCATGTCGTCCCAGGTTAGCATTGCGTGGGGGCCGGTGGTTGGCAGGGCGTGGGTTGCGAGTTGCTGGATCTGTGGACACATGGGGTCAGCTGGGTGTTTGTGCTTGGAGGGGGTTGCAGGAGGGGGGTTCGTACGTCTAGGGTTGGATAGACGCCGGCGTGGATCTCGATGCTGCATCCGTTTGTGCGGATCAGATCTATGGTTGCGCGTAGGGTGGCGATGGCTATGCTTTCTGCAGGGGGCGTGTCGGCGTTGTCAATTAGGAGGTTGCGGACGGAGGTTGTGGTCGGGGTTGCACCGACGGCTGCAAAGATGTTAGTATAGATCTGTTGAGTACCTAGTCCTTTAACGGGGAGCTTCCGTAGTTCTATAGTAAGGAGAGAAACAGCTGACAATATGTATTTGAGGATATGGAGGAAGTAAGTGGCAATATAAGAGAAATACCGCCTGAGGTTTGAGGGAAAGTCGTTTCTCTTATTTTGCAATGGAGAGGATGTAGGGTGTGATGAGCTTGGATAGAGAAGGGAACCTGGCTTACAGAGGATAGGATGATGTGTCGGAGAGAGGTTCCGTAGCTCGATGGCTGTCACGAGCAGTGCTTCGAATTCTTGACGCAGGAAGTCTAGGGCATCAACACGGGCTGAGGAGGAGTAGGATTGTCCCGCGTGGGAGTAGAGACCAAGAATCTCGAGGGTTCCTTGTTTCTCAAGTTCCAGTAGAGAAGAAATGAGAATGCTACATGCTGCTGTTTGTGGTGGCACACCAGCTCGCTTGCCACCCATACTGTTGGAAGCTTAGCGAGGACTTCACTTCGGACTGAATGGACTTGTATGCAGAGGTGTTTAGAATTTCAGTGAGATATTTCAACAGGGGCTTACTCAATCTTTAGAAACACAAGAGGAGCATATCCGCTAAGCTTATGCAATGCAGATACAGACGGAAGCTGGTCAGGGTGATCAACAATCAAGGACAAACCCTTCGGGCCCAGAGTCTTGGAGATCCGAGAAAGGCGTTCCACTGCTGCTGGGGTGACAGGAAATGAGTATAGAAGCTACGAAAAGGTCAGGATTTGCTGAGGAGCAAGAGTGGATGGGGCCAGGTTAGACTCACGTCGACGCCTCGACCTGCGTTTTTGTATTCTAAGAGAAGAGGAACGATATTCTCTGCTTCTGCAAGGGTTGAGACGATGATGTTCACCGGGCTGGTGCCTTCTCCAACTTGGAGTCTGGTCAGCTCAGTGGTCTGGGAGGGTCAGCTGGTGCATACTACTCGGATCAGACTTCAATCTCTGCAAGATGGATAACAGTCGGAAAGGCATCTCCGTCCAGGTGGCCTTATTTTATTCGAGTATAAAGAAATCTTGCGGTGCTCGCACCTTATGAGTCTTGATATGTGCCCTCCATCCAAAGCCCAGTGTCTCAACAGCTTCCAACATCCGGTTGCAGTTATTCTTCAACTTCCCCAGATCCAGCACAGCAGCAGGTCCATCCACGTCTTTCAAGTTCTTTCCCACGAAGAGCTTCTGCAACTCCGCCTTCGGGGATAAGGGATACAAAGATGCCGACGCCAGGGTATGAGACTCGAGTGTAGATCCGGAGGAGTCGAGATGATGGTGATGGTGATGGTAATGGCGTAGAGACTTGAGAGATGGAAGTTCCGGATGCATTTGTATGATGGCAGATAGAAAGTGAGGAATGATATTGATATTACAGCGCGATGTGGACGATGATACTGTCACGCAAAGATGAAGAAGTTAGAGTTGCTTTGATTTCCTTCCCTTTGCTCTTGAATCAGTGAACGCTAAGCAATAATAAGCTCCACAACTTTGCATGACAAGGCATTCACATAAACCTGATATCACTGATAGAGAGACTCAACAAGCTAGGCAGACTTGAAGTTGGTGGTAGAGCCCCGTAGATTACATTTCAAGCCAAATAATGCATCAACATGGCCCGTGGAGTTCAAGGTTAAAGTGGGTCTCCGTAGATATTATCACGTGTCGCACTAGAGAGCCCAAGGCGCTAACAGCATCCCTGTTGAGGCGAGGCTACGAGTTCACCTTGTCTTCTCCCCCACCACGAATATCTCAAGACGCGAACTCAACCACTTTCCTTTCTTTCCCCAAATACGACAACACCACAATACGACAGCTGTAATCGACCACAATCCCATTCTTTCCTCAATTCCACACAAAAATACACGAGCTCTGCAATCACCGCGAGCAACCACACACAAATACCACAGCCTGCGCGACCTCCAAACGTTCTGCTCGCAGATCGCAAGAGCGAGCGAGCGCCATGGCGGAAACCGACTTCTCCTCTCTCTCCGCGGGGATAAACTGGGAGGATCAAGGAGAAGAAGGAGAGCTTCTCTTTGAGCATGCTCTGAATCCGATGACCAGTCTCGATCTCAGAGACACTGGAGACCATGGAGTTAAGGCAGCCGATGCTCAGGATTACGAAGACATTAGCGACGACGACCTTCCAGAGGAGGAGCAGGCCAGCGGAAATGTTATTGATGACGCGCCAGGTCTCACGGAAGTTCTCATAGATGACGCGCCCGGAAATGATGATTTATTTGGCGACGATGATGACGATCTATTCGGCGATGGCGGACGCGCTTCCTCACCCTTCGCGCCCCAAGAGCAAGAAGACCAACCACAAACTCCCCTCACTAGCGGTTTGAGCTTTCCGACCCTCGAGAGTCAAGTTGAAGTTCAATCTCAACCTGAACCTCAGGAACCTGCAGAGCCCGAAGAGTCCGCAGAATATCTCTACAAGCTCAATTTCAACACTGACGATGATCACGACGTCTGGACCGAAGAACAAAAGGAAAAGTGGACTGCCGAGAACTATCCTGACTTTCAAAAGGGCGAAATCATCAACTTCACCTCTTTCTTCCCTCCCAAGGAGGCCTACTTCATCCCCCAAATTCCGGATAAGCTCCCAAAGCCCCTCCATCCCACTAAGGTCAGCTTGAACATCGCCCCCGATACTGAGAAGCTTTTCCGAACCCCTGGGCCCGCACAAAGCGACAAGTACACTCGGATGGCTGAGGATGAAGCCAAGGGACTAGTGTCAATCATTGAAGATTCAGAGGAAGAGGAGGGCAGCGATGACGAGTTTGACTTCTCGCCAATTTCTCCGACGAGTACGGTTGGTGGGTTCACCATGATGGATCTCCAGGTCATCTGCGCAGACTTCGAATCGCATCTCGATGCTGAGCCCCTGAGACCAGTTGAAGAGCAATACGAGGAGCCTCAAGATGAGTGGGAGCGACAGATCTTCGGTCCTCAGAAGCGCAAGTATGTCGAGCCGGAGTTCGTCTACAAGCCTGAATTGGCTATTCCAAACTTCGACAACTTCGAGAAGATGACTGCGCAGCTTGGAAAGCGCGTCATTCTTGACCCCGATGACCCAAACCTTCTTCTCGAGTTCATAGAGGACGTTCCTACAGTGAAGCGCCGCCGCCTTGACTCGGGCAAGCCCGCCAAAGGTGGTCATGACGTTGCATCGGCTCTTCGTGCGCGATTCAACTACTCCAACGACGAGGCTTATGCCATGTTGAAGGAGAACCATGGCAAGGTCAGAGCTACCGTTGGTAGCCTCGCAATTGAGCACTCAGCCCCGGCACAGAAGCTGCAGTGGCCCTATTACCGCACCAAGCTGGATGCTCGCGAGGCTCGTCAATATCATCGTCCATCACTCAAGTTTGGCAAAGTACTCAACCAACCTATTTACTTCTCCAAGCCTAGCACTTCGCGCAAGAAGAAGGACATGCGTGACGTCCCTATTCAAGAGGCATTCAAGACTACAAAGGACCTCTCTCTTTCCGAATACTACTCATCTGCCACCCTCATCGAATACTCCGAGGAGCACCCTACCGTTCTCTCGAACTTTGGTATGGGGAATCGTATCGTCAACTACTACCGACGCAAGAATGCCGAAGACAAGGAGGGACCTGCAAAGCCCGATGATCATGTTGGTGATTCTACAATTCTTCTCCCTGAAGATAGATCGCCCTTCGCAAACTTTGGTACTGTCGAGCCCGGTGAGACCGTACGTGCTATTCACAACGGCATGTACCGTGCTCCCATCTTTAAACATGAGCCAAAGAGCGAAGATTTCCTGGTTGTTCGAAGCAGCACTGGTGTTGACGGTCCGTCGTGGCACATTCGAAACATCGATAACCTCTTCGTGGCAGGCCAGCAGCTCCCTTCTATGGAGATTCCAGGTCCTCATGCGAGACGTGTCACCAACGCATCGAAGAATAGAATGAAGATGATTGCGTTCAGAATGATGCGCCGTCATCCAAAGGGAGAGATGCAACTCAGCGCCCTCACTGCACACTGCCCTGAGAACACCGAGATTCAGAACAAGCAGAAGGCAAAGGAGTTCATGAGACACGATAGAGACGCAAAGGCTTGGAAGCTCAAGGACAGCGAAGGCCCTATTCCTGACGCCGCCGGCATCCGAGCAATGGTGAAGCCCGAGGACGTTTGTGCAATTGACGCCATGGAAGTCGGACTGCGCCACTTGAAAGATTCCGGATTCGCTGCTAGCGAGGAGGTTGACATGGATCGTGAGCCAGGCACCGAAACCCTCGAGCAAAAGTTGGCTCCCTGGAACACTACCAAGGCTTTTATGGACGCTGCAAGTGGCAAGGCCATGCTGGAGCTTCATGGCCATGGCGACCCAACTGGCTGCGGCCTCGGTATCAGCATGATCAAGGTTTCCATGAAGGGCGGATATCTTGAAGGTCTCCAGCAAGGTGAGCTGTCCACTGCTGCTGCTAGGGTTGCACTTGATCGAAAGGCAAACAATGGTCACCACTACAACGTCAAGGCCCAAAACACTCTCTACAGCGATGGCATCCAGCGTGTTTGGAATGCTCAGAAGTCCGATCTGTCCAATCAGACCCAACTTGATGAGATGGACATTGACTGCCCCGAGAATCCTTCCTTCGCTGTCGCTAGGGCAGCCGCCGCTAGTCCTCCTCCATCTCCTGGAAACACTAGCGTCTTCAGCGAACCCACTGGCCACAGAACCTTGACAATTGAGCGCACTGTCTTGAACATGTACGGCCAAGAGGAAGTTGTCACTGAGGTCATCACCGATCAGAAGGTCATTAGCGGTTACAAGAGACGTCGGTTTGAAGAGGATATCAAACACATAAAGTAAGTTTTCTTCCTGCCCGGTGTCCTCAATTCACTTTGCTAACAATCTGCAGCGTGTATGATCTGAAGCCTACTGGAGATCCCGAGACCGACCGGATCATGCGCAGACAGTATGCACGTCCAACCCAGCGTATGAAAATAGCTAACAAGAAACAGCATTAGAGAAGAGGTAGACCGCCTCGAGAAGAATAAGACCCGTCGCATTGGCCGTGAGAACACTAAGAAGTCTGAAAAGGGCGTCAAAGGTGGCAACAACAAGGGCTCAAGCACCAAGACCAAAGGTCCCAAATCTGCTGCGGAGGGCATGATGTCTCCATCTTCCACTCCTACACTTACCATTGAGAAGTCATCGGGAACAAGCCGAAAATGCGCCAACTGTGGACAGGCCGGACACATCAAGACCAACAAGAAGTACATCCACCCCCGCTATTTATGAAGCCACCTCTGACATATTTGCTCTAGGCTCTGCCCCATGTTGAATGGCACCATGTCAAACGACCCAGCTCCTACTGATACTGTTGAGTTTGGCTTCGGCCCCCCTCCCGGTCCCGGTGGTCCTGGCTTCGGCCCCGGAGGCGACGGAGGATTCGGTCCAGACGACGGAAGTGCTGGTGCGCCCAGCGCTCCTATCCAGTACTCCTTCGGCTGAATTCTCAACACCACACATGCCTGCCTTCGTCGCTCTAATCTTCCAATGTTCTCAACGCGAATGCGGATATCACCTGTCACGATATTGTACAATTATTACGACTTGCGATCACGAATCTCCTTCCAAAAAACGCACATGACACAGCCATGGTTTTGTCTCGCACGATACCCACCCCCCAACATTCTTGGACGCCGACCTGATGGCTTGATCCGTCAACCTGGATAGGAACGCAATAGCTTGATGCATCCATAAGACCGGAACAGCCATCCACCCAACCTTCACTCTCTGATCTGGAACGCATTTTGCTTGATCCGAAAAGAGAAAACCGCTTTGCTTATTCACACCCCAGCCTCGATACCGACTACCCGACACATCTTCTCCCCCAATCTGGAGCGCTCTTTGCTTGATCCGAAAGGGAAAACCGAACGACATGTAGAACTTGTAGGATATAGGATTGCACCAACCACCCCAACACCATTAATGTCGACCGGTTGGCTTGATCCGTCTCACGACTGGAACAGCCATCCACTCACCTTCACCCCCGATCTGGAGCGCATCTTTGCTTGATCCGAAAGGGGAGACCGCACGTGTATGATATGTAGAAATAATTAGATAGGAAACCATAAAAACCTCCAACTCAGAAGGTGTACCTCGCGCGTTTTCAGTGATATTCGTGACATGTCAAGCCCTGGCTGGAATTCTGGGAGAGCGACGTCCTGCGGGCTGCTGGTTGACCGATTAATTAGTTGAAATATTCAAAGCCAAACAAAGCCAAAGAATGAAGGGATCTGATGCTTCATATTCATCGAACCGTTAACTCATACGTAATACTCTCTCGACTAGCTAGCTAAATGATATATTTTACTCCGTGCTCCCCGTTTTCCACCCCACGCCCCACCCCCACCCCCTCCCCCCTCCCCCCCACGCTTCACTAAGATAACATAAATATCCACCACCCACCCTTTCCCACCCGTCCAATACCAATGCAAGCCACAACCAATCGATCGACCAAAACGCCCAAGCTCAACAAAAGAGATAGGTATTCCTGAATCCACGCTTCGCTCTGCTTGATGCTGCTTTATCTCAAAACATCCGAGCGAGGCAGCAGCTTTGCAGATTTTTTAAGAAACGCCCAAACGCCGCCCGGTGCTGCTAGCACGTACAGAAACGAGGATGACAGGAAAGGAAAGACAAGACTGCTTGTGAGGAGCAATTAAGTCATCTTGTCAAGCGGATCCAGACTCCGAGCGTGAAACTATAAGGTATATCGTATCGTATCATGTCAAGCAAGCAATCGCCCCGGATACCCCAAAGTGAAAAGAGACGTAAAAACATGTGTCAAAAGTAAAGAGATGACAGAGATTAAACGACAAGTTTCGGTCTCTTCACATCCGCGTTCTCGCCTTCCGCGTCAGGAGTCTTGCGTTTCCCGTTGTTATTCCCACTTTCGCGCCCACCGCTGTCTTCCCTCAGGAAATTCGGCCCCGTGCCCACAACAGGGGTAGCGAAATTCAACGGGCTGGGCAACGTATTCGAGTCTCCAGCTCTGTAGTTCCAATCAGGGTAGAAGCTACTCGGGCTAGGCAAAAAATCGTTGTTCATGAATCGCGACGGTAGTGATGACACGGGCGTGTCGATGTGATTACTGTTGTTTGAGTTTGACTGAGAGGCTTGAGGAACGGGGTGCGGACGAGCGAAAGGATTGGGTGGACCAGAGGCACCGGCTGAGAGGAGAGCAGATGCTGAGGGAGAAGGTGGTGGGAGGACAACGCCCGAGGAGTGCGAATCGGAATTTGTGTGGCCGTTTTGGCGCGTGTCGTTGGAACCAGCTGCATTTGGGCTTGATCGTTGGCTTGAGTTGGAGCCCGCTGTGGCGCTTCCTCCGTCTGAAGGCTCGTCAGGAATTTGGACTTTCAGAACCGGACGCTTACCACCCCCAAGTTGAGCCAAGTTGGCCTGAGATGGGGGTGTGAAGCCTTCTACTGAAGAGGACATGGAGACATTGCGGTTCTTGTTCTCGGTCTGAGCCCGTTGCGGAGGCGGGGGCGGAGTGTAGTCGGTCTTGATTCTGGGGACAGTTGCAGCATCCACAGACTGAGCCCGATTTGGAGCATTGGGTCGTTCCCCGCGATTTGGCTCCACCGTGGTAGTAGAAGAGGCCCAGTGTTGGGACAGGATAGACCTCGACTCATCGATGGGTGTAAATATACTGCGTGACTTCACTGACATCCTCTTCACGGGCTCGAGCATCTGTTGTGGTGCAGGGGGGTGCTCCTCTGTTTCTTGATGAGAAGGAAGCTGCTGCGGTTGCTGTTGGGGAGTTCCGTGTGGTTGAGGTTGCGGCGGTGATCTCGATGACGGCCGTTCCTGTGGGAAAGTAGGTGGCATGGAAGTTTTTCGTTGCTCCTCCGCATACAATTGCTGCACTTGTTGCGAGTGTGGATGCTGCTGCGGCGGCTGCGGCGGCGGCGGCGGCGGCTGCTGCTGCTGCTGCTGCTGAGGGGGTGGTGGGCCGTAACTCGGATATTGAGGTCCGCCCGGCTGTGGAGCTCCTGGAAGACTATGCATTGGAGCTTGCTGCATATGCGGTGGCAGGCCGTTAGGGTGCGGCGGATGTACTGGGCCACTCTGCGGGTTGTACATAGATGGGTTTGGCATGAATGCGTAGCCATTCGGAGGTAACGGCTGAGGATGCTGCGGCTGGGGAGCAAAATTTGAGTTTGTCCTCACGACATCATTTCTCGAAGTAGGTCGGGATCCAGGTTGTCCAGGTTGGGGAGTGTGTTGACGTTGTTGTGGGTAAGGCGGGAAGACTCCATTCGGAATAGGGGGAGAGGCCGAGGGTGTGTGATGTCGGACATGCTGGAAGGCATGATTTTGGAATTGAGGCGGCATCATCTGAGGCTCGACCGAGCCGTGATGAGAAGGTCCAGATCCATCATCGTCATCATCGTCGTCATCCAACTTTCCCTTCCCATTGAAGTCCGCCGGACCCTTGTGCTCGTTTGCTGCTCCATACTGCCTCGCTGTCAGCCCCTGTCATGCGCACCGAGGGTTTGTTTCTACATACATATTGGTACCGGTTCATGATCTCTCCAATGTCGCTACTGGAATACTCGTACAGCTTCTTGTTGTTCCCAAAGATGACAACGGCGACGTCGACGGAGCAGAGGACGGAGAGCTCATGCGCCTTCTTGAACAAGCCGCCTTTGCGCTTGAGGAACGTTCTGCGGAATCGGATCAGCAGCTGTTTCGCATCGCGATTCGGCCGGGCGCACTTACACGGAACGGTTTCTGTCATCTTTGATGGCTTTGATCTCAATCTTCCGTCTCCCCATGACGGCGATGCGCCGGTCTTGCGGCTGGTGGAACGAGGTTCTGGTGAATTGATCCAGCTCCTCAAACCGGGGGGAAGGGGGGCAGATGGGCGGAAGACGATTTCGGACCGCGTGGTATCAGCCGTTGACCTGTTGGAATTATCGCTTTCGCACACAATCGCCGACAATTATGTAAGGGTCGAGTGTAGACGCGGGCTGGGTTCGCGATCGGAGGAGGTCGAGTCGAGGTCGGGATGGTCGAGGGATGTGGTTGTGGTTGTGGTTGTGGTTGTGGTGTTGGGGTATGACAGAGCAGAGCTGTATGCGCCCAAGGAAGTCCAGGCCTTCCGATGCAGCGAGCAGAACACGAGCTGATCCAGAGTTTGCCGGTAGCGGGGGGAGGGGGGGGGGCGTCAGAGTTAAGATAAGCCGGGCTGTGGAGTGAATGTTATATATGGGAGATCGGTAGTTGTGGGCTGCCGGTGATTCTTGTATGGCGGTGGGAGGAGGAGGAGGCGGAGGGGGGAGGAGGAGGAGGTGGTGGAGATGGTGGTGGTGGAGGTGGTGGTGGTGGTGTTGACGTGAAGAAAGGTGGAAGATCGCGATACTAAATATAGAGGGGGGGGGAAGTGTGGGAAGGGTGGGAAGTGCGAGAACAAGGCACACAGGGCTGGGCGGGGGCTTGGGGTGGGACGTGCTACGGTGGGGAATACGCAAGGTGGGGCCTTTTCGCTCTCCGTATAATTTGGTTGTTCGATCATTTCCAGTTATTAAAAGTGGGGGGCAAAGGGGAAGGGGGAAGGGGCGAAGGGGCGAAGGGGTGAAGGGGAGGGGGGGGATACGGGGGGTGTCTTGATCACCACCGGCCTGGGGGAAGAGAGTGCAGATAGCGGCTCCAGTCGACAGATTCGAGACACATGAGCGCTGAATGGTCAGCAAGCGAGCCGTGGAAAGTGATGATAGTGACACGCCAACGTAATCTGGCCAGCTACGTAGTAGCTGGACACTCCCCTCCAGGTGCCGGCAGTCATCATCGAAGTACCGGTACCGTACCGACCAACAAGGAGATTAAGGACGGTACATGAATTTGCTATACTGGGAAACGGGCTCGAGGCATTGTATCATCTTCCGTAGCTTCATCTTCCGTAGGCTCATCTTCCGCAGGCTCATCTTCCGTAGCTGTCTATCAAAGTCTTTTTTGCCTTGTCGTGGTGAATTGCTTCGTGTAATCGTCGGTTCATTCCATCGGTCGCTTAATCTCTATGCGTAAGGAAATGATCATGAACTCCCCGAGGTTCAATCAATCAGGCAGTCAGGCAGTCTGGCAGTCAATCAATCAATCAATCTACCAATCTATCAATCAGTCAGGCACTTAGTGTCACTCATTCGTCTATTCATCTATTCATCTATCATCTATTCGTGTATTCATCAATTCATCTATTCACCTCATTCATCGATCAATTCATGAACCCGTCGATTCATCCATCCAGCCTCACGCCCTCTCTCCCATGTTAGACTTTCCGTCAAACTCCTCCACCTACCTGCATGCCACCGTGTGCTTCGAATTCTGTTCGAGAACGTAAACAAGACGCCAACCCGTATGATCACCACCACGGTCATCTCAATATAGTACAGCACCTGATACGACACGCCCGCGCTACCTCTTCCTCCCAGCCACATGCTTGCTCGAGAACTCATAGCACTGAAGTGTCATCTCGTCTCATTTAGAACGCTACTATGCCTCTTTCTACATCTCTGCATCCACAATCCCCGCGTGGCAGAAGGTTCCCAAATTAGCCCACGTCAGGACGGGCAGGAATCTATCTTTGCATCGACTCTGTTCGCCCGGGGTGGGTATGAAAGGGCCAGCACATTGGCTGCAAATAGACACAGAGAGAGAAAGCATCGTTCGATACTTCCGTCTAGTTGGTAATAATTCTCCGTGCCGCTCGCTACCTCATGCAGAATCGGAGGTTTGGCTGCCTGCACGCGGAGCGACACGGAGCGGCCGACTGCTGGACGGACGGGCATATATATGTACAGAGAATATTTCTGCATCCACCACTCTCATGCGACGCCTCGTGTTCCAGTTTTCAAACCTGGGTGGATATTTATGTGTATCTGGTATTCTTTCTTGACATATACTTACATAAACCATTTAAAAAATCTAAAGAAGTAAATCAATATACGGCTCCACCCGTAAGTGGCAGGACCAACAGACAGATAAACAAACAAACAAGCGAGCGAACACACGACCTGTTTCTATTCTCATCTCTCTACACACAGCAGCCATACATGATCCTGATCCATAATCGCTACCAGACCGGTACAGTATGTAGCTAGCTACCAACGGCCCCAGCCAACATCCTGCGTTCGGTCTACGGTACCATCCACAACAATCAATATACATCCAACCAGCCCCAACTCTTACCCCCTCCCCTCTTTACCCGTAAAAGTAACCATCATTCTTCCTCCCCTTCCCTTCCCTTTATCCTCCTTTACCCTCTCCCTTCCCTAATCACCCGCAGCTCAGCTCCGCCCAGCTCCGCCCAGCTCCGTCTTCCTCCCCTCAGACAACGTACCTCGCGCCACGTCCCTTCCTTCGTCCCGTACAGAGTAGGTGCTCGGAGGCTTCTCAAAAGATCAAACCAAAACACAAACCGCCAAGGCAAATCCACCTAACCTGTGTCAATGCATCGGAGGAAAAGAAAGACAGGAGGGGAAGAGCGATAAAGAGAGGGGGGG